CTTTCAAACATATTCTCTTTAATTGATTAAACTTTATTAAAAAATATAAAATTTAGTAAATCTTTCATCTTATTTAATACTTTTTTTAATAAATTTTAACCAATAAAAATGTGTTTAAAAGATTGTGATAGAAAATACGTCGTTAACACTTCTCCCGGTATATTGTTAGTTGGAAGTCATAATCATAAAACCACGGTGGCGTGTGCAGATGCTAATCAACATGAAATTTGTGTTGTTGTTGGTTGGAAATCAACGAACAAATAATCCGAGACGTGTGTTAGACACAACAATTTGTACACATATACCTGAATGCGTATGCAAAGATGGTGTCATAACACTGAAAATCCGAATTTGTAGTGCACTGTGTCCTTCGTTAAATCACAGACAAGGTACTTTTTATGTAGCTAACAAATTTGAGACAACAGATAGTGGCTGAGTTGTTTTGCTTTTACTGTAACTTTGTTGTTCCTTTTGTGATATCCGTGACATGAAAGAAAATGACGAAACTTTGCTATGTACGTATTCATTCATTCATTCTTGAAGAAACATATGTACTGTTGCAATTATGCATTACAAAGAAACCGTGCATATCCTTTGAAAAAGTGAAGTACAAATTGCAAATCCAAAAGGGAATATTCATGTCAAGTGCTGTTCTTTCTTTGTGTCCGTAAAGTTGATTTGGTTAAATTCAATAAGATCTTGTAGCATATCATGCATTGGTACAGCAATTGATAAATAAAATAAAATAACATAATATTAAAGAAAAGGGTTATCAATTGCTCAATGGTAAAAGGCAAATATTCTCCAGCTTTTGATAATCAGAAGCATGTGGGTTTCTGTAATGGAATCCCAGATCTAAATCTGTTCTACTTTCGGGCAATTATTTCAATTTAATTAAGCTAAATCAACTTGTTGAAAATTCTTACTTTAAAATCACCCTTAATTTGTATAATTTACTTTGAGCTTAAAACTTATTTTCAAGCTGCTTTTGTTTAGAATTTAAACACATATACTTGGAATACTTTTACAAATCGGATGTCATTGAAGTAATATATAAATCAACTTGCATTAAACGATCAAATTAAGTAAATTTTCCAAAAGAAGTAATAGAGCGACATATAATTATAGATGAAAAATTGACAGTCACCTACAACAAATACTGTACATGTGTTGATACTAACACCACTTTTCTGGTTTTACTCAAATTAGCCAAATGAATTCCAAAATAACTAATGGTTTACTTTCAGTTTGTGTAAAAAGAGGACAAAGAAAGAAACGAACACATCCTTGGTGACAACAATTTGCTTTTCCCTAAATTCATATATATGCTTTGAAATGTCTGTTTCCAACCATGTCAAGGTAGAGGTTGTGGCAACTGGCAGGGTGGAGTTTGAATAGGAATCTCACAAGGCCTTGAAAGTTGCAGCCTTTGGGGAGAGTGATGGAGGGTAGAGATCGAATATTCTAAGGCCAAAAGAGTTCAACAGCTAAACTCCAAAATTTTATTTTAAAAAATGTTAGAAAGGAAAAACATCATTAGATTATGATTAAGGATTAGCAAAGTAGCAGGAAAAGTCAGCCCACAAGGAGACGCCTACTCACATTTCCAAAAATTCACTGCCTTTGTCAGCTGGCTGTCTTCTAACATATTCTCTTTCATGTTAATCTTAGTATTTACTCAAACTTAATAATTAAACACTAATCTTACAAACTTATAGATAAGTGTTGTGGTTAAATACTCTGCATTAATATGTTGTAACAGAAAATTTCGTGTTTAATTTTTTTGTGTATGAAAATCATTCTAGATAATAGTAGTCAATATTGTAAAGTGAGATTAATTTCAGTCCAATAAATTAAAGATACTCATGGCAAGAAAAAAATACACTAATCTTATATCAACATCAAATTTTAGTACACAGTATTTCCTAGATTAACATATATCATATTTCAAGCGAGTCTAAAGAAAACAACACTTATATTACCCTAGAAAATATTAGCGTTGAGGCTAAGCAAACTTTTTACTTTCTTTATCTCTTTTCTTTTTTTCTTTTGTGGTGGTGGGGAAGATTCTGCCTTCATTCTCTCAAGAATAACTTCAGTAGTATATACCTCACATACTATATATTATTACTAGAAGAAAAAAAAAATCCTATATATTGATAGGCCACGTAACATAAACAATCCACAGGTAAACATTTTCACCGAAACGAAGAAGCTTTATTTAAAAGAAAAGGAACCAATGCACGCGAAAGATGTTGAGGAAAAGCTAAAAAGTAAATTATCTACCATCCAAAAAATTAAGGGCGAAAGGTAAAAGGTTTGCTACACACATCTACCACTCAAATTTTGACCACCCAATTAAGGTCTGCACTGACCTTCAAGTTGTGTTAAGGAATCAAAAGCACGTTTGACTGCCAGTTGCATCATCATAATCACGATGTGATGAATGAGGTTAGTAATAATAATTATTTCTGATATACTAATAATAAAAAAACAAGAACAAGAGTTAGTTTTATGTGTATATATAAAAGCCAAGTGGGATAGAAACCCTGTCAATGTACGTGAGACATGATCATGTTGTCATCCGGACGATTATTCCCTTTTATGTGTTTTTTCGTCTTTTGCTTTGGATTAACCCTTGCTTCACAGTTTGGTGAGAGCATGGACACACGTGCATGGCTGTTTACTAATAAGAGTAAGAATGCCAAATCAATTAACAAGTGATGGATTGTAATGGCAAACTAGCTAGCTACCTCTCACTCTTTTCTTTTAATCCATTATTGTAGCCAATTCAGACATTAATAATTTTTACAAGATTTTGGCATCTATCAATCTTCTTCGGGGAAATGACCTGCACTTTCACTTTGACTATGCCTCAAAGACTCGAAAGATTTTGCTTTTTGCGGAAAATAAAGATTAAGGAAGGCGTTTGGGTTGGCTTTTCTTTTTCCAGTCACACTCACACGAGACATAATGATTTTCACTTTTTGACAGAAACAGCGTTTTATTTGCTTTGATTTAAATGGCTGTAAGTGGAGTATTACGAGTTGAAACATTAATCAAGAAAAAGTACCCAGATTTTTTTAATAGACTCTTGGTTATGTTTGTAGCACTAGTATGGATAATAGCATTGTTTTTTTTTTGTTTCATGTAATTGGACAATCTATACATAAAGCAAACCTATACTATACGAGCCTATGAAGCATACAAAGGTTCTTAGGTCATATATATGGCAGAAGAAAAAAACTACATATAGCATATGTAAAGTCAGAATGATTTGGATGTAATGACCAGAGTGATATATATATATATATATATATATATATATATATATATATATATATATATATATATAAATATCTATGTCACTAG